GACTTCCTCAACACCTTCCTGCACACTTACAGGATTTTCACCACGGCAACGGTGGTCATGGACAAACTGGCCGACATCTACAAGAAGCCCTTCTCCTCCATTCCGATCAGGTCATACAGTGCAAACACACAAATAAGCATTCACAAACACAGAAAAGGTGTAGATGCAAACAAAACTCACCACCACCGAGGTAAAGACACCTCGTTAATCCTGCCATGAGTGTACATGAGATTGTTTTATTAGCTCCCCCTTGTTTTTTAATTCTGTGAATGATGTAGTCAGATGTGGGTCAGTGTTTTGGACTCGGCATGGAGCTCCCACTCTGTCCACAAGGTTGAATACATACTGGCAGAAGAACATACCAGGAGGCCAGCAGAACAGATGCTTTGACAAGGTTCCTGGCACAGCTATAGGAATATACTGTGTGTCAGATGGGGAGTTGGGGAGTCTCTCTCTCTCTCTCTTACTTATTAGGTCTCTGGCTGCATCAGATTTGTGTGTTTATATTCTTTCCCCGACTTTACTTAACTTAACTTTTCAACTGAAAAAGCTCTGTCTTTTCCTCTGCCCAAGGGCAGGTTTGTATGTAAAGGCCTTTGGCTGCCTTTACTGGAAGAGAACAGGGAGGACTCATCCAGAGACCAGAGTTGTGCAGAAAGGGTACTGTGGGTGTGTAGGGCAAGTTCCCCATCTCAAATGTTTAACTAAACAGGATATGCTTAATTTTTGCCCTGAATGTTGCTCCACGTAGGCACATAGGCAGCCCAAGTGTCTTTCTTCTAGTTAAACCTTTCTATTTTTTTCTCTGTCCTTCACCCACCAGATAGCCAAAACAAAAGAGAACACGATTTATTGTTTTTCGGTGGTTTCTTTATTATTTTGGTGCGTTTTAGTCATGCTAGCACCATGGCTTTAAGGATGGCAGTGTTAGTTGGTCTATTATCTCTACAACTATTGGATTGATTAGCACAAACCTTTCAAACATTCATGGTTCCCAGATGATGCATCTTAATGACTTTGGTGATCTGTTATACCTGCAGAATTAATGACATTCCTATCAGCCTCAGCTGTAGCCTACTTAACCTTAGCATTTAGTGATAATTCGCAAATGTTACCACGCTAATACGCCAAACTAAGGTGGTAAACATTGCTAACCCTGCTAATCAACATGTTAACATACTGACTGTAGCATTTAACTCAAAGCTCTGCTGTGCCTATGTACAGCCTTACAGAGGCAGCTGCATTCTTGTTTTAACCTTGTGTATTTATCTTTCATAGCTGTTTTTCAATTTTTTTCTATTATATCTATCATATTTTATTTTGCAGTTATTCATTTTACCATTTCTTTAAATGAGGATTTGTTGATGAAGCTTGGAGGACTGAAATTTCCACACTTTATAAATGATTATATTGAACCTCTTGGTTTCTAGGATTGAAGAGGTGCCCCTGCAAAGGTCTCCATTTTGTTCTGTCTTCTTCCCCATGTGGTCATGTGTCAGTATCTTAGAGACCGAACATGCTGCTGTTCTCTCACTCACACACTGCCTTCCCTCCTCCTCAAACACACCTTTCCTCTATTAATTTATCATCCTTCTATCATCTTCCCTCAAACCATCTTCTATCTCTGTCACATCTCCTATTTACGTTTTCTTGTCATAATCCAACCATAACTCTTTAAACATTGTTCTGTGTCATCCGTCCCCTTGTCTCTTCATGTCCCTTCCAACTACAGGGCGCAGTACCACTCATTTGACCGTCTGTCCATCTCATCCATCTGTCCTGACTACAGTCTGAAGATCAAGAAGATAGCCATGGATCAGTCCAAGTAACCAACTCTTCTCTCTCTGCCCTCCTACTCACTGTCTCTTTCCAACTTTTCCTGCCAGTTCTTCCTCTGGTCTTGGTCTGATCCTTCACTGATGACTTTCCCCTTAACTTTGACTTGTTAACTGCTATCTATGTGTTATATGAATTGACAACTCACAGGGGTTGTAATATCACCAATATTTTTGGCTGATGATACATAGACAGGAATGGGAGAAGGAAAATATTTTTGAGTCTTCACTCTGCAGCTGGTCTGTTGCATGCTCTCTCACTGGAGTGTCACTTCCTCAAGGCTGTTTTTTTTCTCTTCTTTATCCATATTGATCCCCTTTTGTCATTCCTCTTCAGTCTGTTTTATATCCTCTTCTTAAAAGTCTTCCGCTGCTTGCTTTCACTTTTCAGCTGCTTGCTTCAAAGTTCAACATTCCTCCTCTTTGCTTTTCATGTATCTTTCCTTCCTCTATCTCCCTTTCATTTCTCCCCCTCCTCTTTCAATCTGGGAAGCAATTTGTTCTTCTATTTCCTGCTGAATAACAGGCTTGTGTGAATAAATGATGGCTGTGTTTATCTATGCATGATTACTCCTCCCTTGATGTAGCTCTGTACACATGACTCTCTGAGTAGTGTTAATGTCATCACAAAATTGATAACCAAAATGCATGTTCATTAAATCTTTTGCACTTTCATTGCCCAGTAAATAAGGCGATTAAATGTTGCAAATGTAATCTGCAATAAGAGACTGATTCTTTTTCTATTCTTTGGAACCCCAGTGTGGCCGTTGAGGAAACACATATATATATTGAGGCCATGTTTTGCTATACAGAGTGCTCAAAATGCTACTGCATGCACATAAGATACAGTTTGTTTCCACGTTTTGATTCATTAATTGCCACAGGATGAGTGTATATATAGAGAGCCAGCACAGCAGACCATCCTTCGCCATAATAAAGCCTATGTTAACAAAATAATAAAATGTGGGAATTAATTGTATCTCATGCACACACAATAGCATTTTGAGTGCTCTATGTAGTACAATGTTTTGTTTTAGGCACATAATCAGCTACTAAAATCATAGTCTTTAAGGGTTTTTGAGGGTGTTCACATGTACATTTGCTGAAAAGTTTAAGGTTAGTATGAACCTTTTTATACATAGATCCACAATTTTAGGATAGTGCAGAAGAACAATGATCATAAACAACAGACAAGACTACTAAGGAATTTGTAGAAATAATTTTCCTTATTATGTTAATGTGGCTACAATGCTAGCAAATAGTTCCTTTTTACACATCCAGTAGACACTGAGCAACATTAGAATTCATGTGAAGGTGCTGTTCTCTTGATGAATGTAAGTCCAATATTCACTTTCTACTCTTCCTTTGTTCTTGAATACACAGTATGCCATTTTATTTAGTCCCTAAACCAGAAATATTTCTCTAATACAGGAAAACTATCTGACAAAATGTATTTGCTACTGAACCTTTTACACTTGAAGGCATACAGACAAACAAGCTTTTGTTTTGAGCTGCTGCAGTTGCTAATTTTCTTTTCATACCTGCACTCTCTTTATTGCTTAATATCCTTAAATATCCTTAAATATCCTCTTATTTTGTTAACATATTGCTTCCCCCCCCCTTTCAGATCATTGGAGCTGTTCTTTGCCACCAATCAGAATAACAGAGGTGGAGAACACAACGACAAATCTCCTCGTCTCTGCCGCAAGTTCTCCTCTCCACCTCCTCTGTCCATCCCGTCTCGCACCTCCTCCCCTGTCCGAACACGAAAGCTCTCCCTCCATTCTCCCATCACTGCCAGGGTCGGAGGCCTTGACCTAACCAGTCCTCTGTCAAACTCTGGCATCAACCATAACACTTCCCAGTCTGCTGCCAGTAGCCCCACATCTGCCCACACCCCCCAAACCCCAACGCCTCAGACCCCGACTCCTACCACCTCCTCTCCTCCTCCTCCTCCCTCTTCCACCTCTCCCCCACCCAACAACTCCAAACCACTGCAGGACCAAGTTCCTCCTATTCCATCATCCCCGGACCAGAGTCCCTGCTCAACTGCAGAGGGGGAGGAGGTGCCGAAGATTGATCCATTTTGTGGCAAACTGAGACGGAGCATCCGTAGAGGTATTTAATACTTTCCAAACAAATACAAATGTATTCAAATGTATCTATATTAGTGCTGATGCAATACCTGAGCTTCACAGCTAAACACATTAAAAGAATGATTGTAATTATTTTGGTGGGCTGTAACAGCTATTTGGAGAATTGAAAAGCATTGGCAAATAATGTAAATTCTCATACTTTTACACTGGGCTTAGCTTATTGCTACATGCACCTTAGATAACGTGTGCAGTTTGTTGTCAATATCTGAACTATATTGTTCTCTATGACTGAACATCAACATACAGAGCCTTATTGGTGTACTGAAATGCTTTTAAAGAGCTGGAGGTCACTCATCAAATGACACAGTATGAAGTGTTCCCTGTAAGAGCAGAACAGCGCCTGGTGGGACATCATTATCTCCTTGTATTTGTGTGCTTGAGTCAGCTACGCTGACTTCCCACCACACATCCTTAGATCTTCTAATAGTGGTGTTAAACAACCCTCTCAGACTGGAGAGAGATAGCATCAGGGCATGAAGCAGCACAGCAAGGACAAGCCACAGTTAGACCCTCATTAGCATGTGCACACAAGTACAGTGTGTGTATGTGTGTGTGTGTGTGTGTGTGTGCATGAGCGTGTGCATGTGTGACAGCTGCTAACCGCTCACTAGGAGACAAAGAACCATTAGCACTCGTAGCATCGAGCCACTCTCATCTCCTCTGCATACGGTCTCTCAGTTTCTTTTACCCTTAATCAGAGAGTGTATTTATGTGTTTAGTGTTTATATGTATTAAAACATTTACATATCTTCCTATTTGCCTGTTAATCTTGCGCTTTTACTGTCTTCTGACAAATTGTCAGTGACATTCTGAGCGTATGTTAAAGAGTCATCAAGTAAAACCTTTGTGTCTTTCAAGTTGTATCCAAATTAAATTTGTTTGAATGAAACAACTTATTTTCAAACCAAAAATGTGTATAGTAGTAGCAACGACATCCCGTAGTGCTCCAGGTAATCTGGTATTGTATACTGTGTACTGTATACTGTACAAATACAGATACAGACAGACGACAAATTCGAGACTTAAATAAATGTGTAGAGATGTAATGAACAGAGATGCTTCAATGTAGGCAACAAGGGGTCACTGAAGGGTTTGATGAGTGTGAAAATGGCCTTCACAATCACCAGATCTTAACACAGTCGTACACATATGGGTGATTTTAGACTGATGTGGCGGACTGTGCTCTCCACAACCATCATCAAAATGCCATGTGAAGGAATAACTTTTGAAAATAGTGTTCACCCTTCCAGTAAAGTTCCAGAGACTTGGGCACTCTAGACAAACTATCGACTTTATGTTGGTTTTTGTTTTATTTTGTCACTTTGTCAATTGCAGAAGAGAAATTCAGGTTCAGCTTTAATACCTGCTAACATGACAGGACAGAGTTGAATTATTGGTCCTTTCATTATCATTGTCTGTCTGTTTGTGTTGGAGTTCACTTCCAAAAGGTTAAATAAAAGTTGCCATTCAAAGAAATCAAAGGTATTCCAATTACACATTTGCAGAGTAAATCAAATATTAAACACATGCATGTTCACCTATATGAATGCAGTTACATGTAAATGAACATTTACTTAAACATTTACTTGCTCACAGGCACAAAAATGTGCAGGGAACAAATTGAAGTCTTGATGTTTTCCACTGGTTATATTGATCGATATCTGCATGACTGTGAACTTAAGTATAATAAAGTTCTCTCCAGTAGAGCAGCAGCAGTAATGGCCACCACCATAACCATAACCATCAACATCATCTCTCCTCCTTTCTAGCTGTGCTGGAGTCAGTGTCACTGGAGAAAATCATCCCAGAGTCTCCTCAGAGCAGTGAAGCAGGAGACATGTCTCCGTGTCGCTCCCCTTCCACACCTCGACACCTCCGCTACAGACAGCCTGGAGGTAACAACGTGTGTGTGTGACTGTGCGGTTTATGACTCATAACTCGGCCACAATGCCATAGCCAGAGGCCCTCAAAGTGGGCAGCGCTATGCCCACTGACTGACCATACTTCAGGCCAGGCAAAGATCCCTGACCCTGGAGACTGACATCTTTAATACAGGAGCACAATACAAAGCTCAAATACAGAAAGACTAATGCATAAATGGCCCTGTGTGAGTGTTTGAGTGTGTATGTGAGACTCTAAGTGTCTTGGGTTAGTTTTCTTTGAGGTGGTCTAAGTTAGATAACCTGCCTGGATGACATTAAAGGGAGTGTATCCTGTACAGTATGTAAGACAGCTGCAGAGCCAACAAGCATTTGGATGATGATGAAGATGATGGTGATGATTTCAATGGTGATGTTAAAGGTGATGACTGATATGATCACACTGAGGATTCATGTATGCTGTTGGAAATATTGCTAACAATGAAGAGTATATTTATGGTCTGCAATGTGCCTGTAGCCAGAATGACAATATTGATGATGGGCATATGATAAATGATAATAAAGATCATAAATGATGACTAGATACATTTTCAGATCTATAATCTCTACAAAGTATATTCAAAACACTCAGAAATACTAGAAAATATATATATTTGTCTTTTTCATATGTTAGTGCTTGATGTAATAAGTAAATAAACGTGGTCATTGTCTACAAACAAAATGCTCTTTCCATTCAAATTGCTGTGTATACTAACACAGATTATGTTTCAAATATTATCTTTGTTTGTATAGTTAATTTACATGAATAGTAAGGCAAACTTTAAATGTTTTGACATTTACATACTTGTGTGAATACTTAAAGCTTACTGAGGAAAATATGAACTATGTAGTTATTAATTAGGTTGCTATGAAAAGGGGATTTTAATCAATATAATAGGAAATTTGACATTTAATAATAAAAAATAATAAAAAGCAATATTAAAGAAAGTTATTTGAATTTGTGTCCACTGCAATCATGTTTGGATAAAATAAAAGTTAATTTTTATTCACTTGTGGTCCCTCCCCTCAATGATGAAAATTATAGCGGTATTGTTGTCATTGATGATAATTATGTGTTTGTGTGTTTGCAGTCCAGTCAGGGGAGAACTCACGCTGCTCCGTCTCTCCCGCTTCAGCCTTTGCTATTGCCACAGCAGCAGCAGGACATGGTTCACCACCAGGTACACACACACACACACACACACACACACAATGATTAAACATACTGTAAATTACAGCCGTATTGTTTATAGTGAATGTAAATAGTCTAATAAAATCTGAAAGCTAAATAAAATATAGCAGATTCTGGAGACTGGATTCTAAAGTCATAATAGTCTATCATATTACAAATTTGATCAAAGTGGGAGGTTTTGTTTCTTGTTTAATTTTGCAATAGTAACAGTATATTGTTATCTGCTGCCATAAACCTAAAAAGGTACAAAATATCAAAAGGATATTTTCTTACTTAGTTACTTTATCTGTTACCAGTAGTTAGATACAGTAAAGATGGATGTCCAGTTCATGAAACATATTTTGTTACTATAAAGTACATTATGTAGTTAACTAGATAGAAATAGCCACAACTGGATCAATTAAAATATAATATAAAATATGAAAATGTTAAAGGGTTGATTCTAAAAATTACAAAATTAATGTTCTCAGTCATCCTCAGTTGTATCAATCCAAGCAGATAAAATTGTAGTAACTGTCAGATCCTTACAGATACAGTTTCCTTCTTCTTACTCGGGATAATCCATGCACCACACTGTGAACAGTTTTTATTGTCTTTACTTTTTGTGGAAGAACTAGTTCAAATATGTGGATATTTGACCCTTTATATTTTCCTGCAAATACTTTTACTTCTGTAAATGTAAATGTTTTAATGAAGCATTTAAGCATTTTCCCATTGTTGCTTTTAATTAAGCACATCATTTAAATTCTTTTCAACCACTGACTGACCTTGCTTTTGTTGGTAAATATAGTAAAACCACAGGTCATCAATGAAAGTTTTATATCATCATCATACAATAATAACATATTCTCTTTGTTCTTCTTTTTCCTTTCCGGTTTTAAAATTTCCTCCAGTCTTTACTAACTCAGAAAGAACTTGTGATAAAGATTTCATCATCCGCCGAGCTGCAACTAACAGAGTTCTCAACGTACTGCGGCACTGGGTCTCCAAACACTCACAGGTCTGTCTGCCCTCACGGCTCTGTGTGTGTGTGTGTGTGTGGGGGGGGGGGGGGTGTCAAGTCTGTGGTCTCATTAAAGCAGGTGTCTGATGCGTTCTCTCTTCTGCTCCACTGGTCTTACTTGAGCATGTAAACAGCCACACGCACACAAGCACACACTGAATATTGTTGCCGTGTCAATTGGACAACCAGCTCAACCCGCTTCAGTCCACCTACCTACTCCAGTGTTGCCTCTAATGAATTGAATATTGCAGTAATTGCCTGACTCCCTGCTTAGAGGTCTAACTGCATTGATCTGTTTTATGTATTTTTCTTCAATAACACAAAATGCTGTGATGACAGGCCAGCTTTACTCGGCTTATTAACACGGAGGCAAGCACAAACACACACATGTACACCCACTCACATTTTTCTTTGGGAGGCCAAAGAACAAGGAGCTTGTTAAAACTGACCTTTGAACAAGAGTTAAATTGGGGGCGGGAGTGAGAGGGGAAAAGAGGAGGAAAAGAAGGTTTAAAGATTGGGAGGAATAAGGGGGTTTAGGGAAAGGAATGGAAGACATGTTATTGATGTTTGGTGAGGTGGGGGATGAGTGTGTATAGGATAGAGAAAGTCATCAGCAGAGAGAAAGGAATAGAGAATGTATTTTCACACTGCAAGTAATAGTCTTTGTTTGCATTTTACTTCTATTAGAGTTGAGCGATATGAGGATATATATAATGACACTTTATCAATTTGGTAACCGTTTAAACATTGCTTTTGCAATGAGGTCTACTTTAATGTGCACAGTTATGTAGTTCCTCATCTACCCACAAGACAGTTTAAACTATATACATATCATCATCAATTAAATTATGTCAAATATCTCAATAAACACCAGCAAAATAAGTTACCTACACAAATAAATGTCATCGTACATTACTAAATATCACAACAAATCATATATCACTGTCTTAAATATTCCTAACTTCTATCTCTGTGAGGACCAATTTGTTTTAGACTTTGAGGGTGAGGAAAGTGAAGATACTTTGGTTAATCTTCACTTCTTTGGTTAAAGTCTGGTTTTAAAATTTAGGTCAGAATTAGGTTTAAGTTAATGTTAGGTCACTAACTGAGGTTAGGCATGTAGCGGCCTGATCCTTTCAAGTATAGAAGTTCATTTGTATTTGTGTTTAGGACTTTGAGATGAATGGGGAGCTGAAGATGTCGGTGATCTGTCTCCTGGAGGAGGTGCTCAGAGATCCAGACCTTCTGCCTCAGGAGAGAAAAGCTACTGCCAACATACTAAGGTAGTGCACACACACAAATGTACACACAAATGTGCACACACACAAACATGGAGTACATGTATGAAGCGCCTGAATATAATTTGAATAGTCAAATTCTGCTTATTTTATTCTATGCTGTCTCTTAGTGCCCTTTCTCAAGACGAGCAGGACGATGCACAGCTGAGGATAGAGGACATCTTGCAGATGGTGAGAAAACTGCAGCACATAAAATCCTCTGATAACTTTTTTTTCTTCAGTGAGTCATTGCAAATGTCTTGTTATGATTTTATGATAAACTAGTTATTATTCTGTTGGATGAATTAAGCAGCAGTAAACTGCAGAGAAGAGAAACTCTTCTTTTTGCTGCATAACATACACCTCTTGTTATTCCAGACTGGCTCAGCAATGCAGCTTTTAATTTGAATTTGTATATTTATGTGGTTCTCTATGGGATGACCTGTTTTTTATGAAGCTAGTCCCCCTGAAGTACTAACATATTAATACACACCTTCCGCAAATACTTATTAATTTTCCTTGTTACCCTCCTTTACCACTTCCCAGAGATGAAAACAATCAGGAGTCACGAGTGCTCCTAGTTAACTGTCTTGGCTTAATAATGACTGGGAATTACAAACACACGTTGCCTTAGTAAGATGTGAAAAATCTTGGTCAGAACAAACTGTTCTATCCTCCAGTCAGATGGGGTAAATAGACCCTCTCCTGACTGTGATGGTCTCCAGGGGACTGCCAACTGTCATGAAACATACTCATCACAGCCAGTCTTTTTATTAGATATGTTATTTGTGTTTGTGTTTTTTTGTCTGTTTATGACTACTATGTCTCTGTATGTGTGTGACCATGTGTGTGTTTAGGCGGACTGTCCGAAGGCAGAGTGTTTTGAGTCTCTCTCAGCAATGGAGCTGGCTGAGCAGATCACTCTGCTGGATCACATCGTCTTCAGGAGCATTCCTTATGAGTCAGTCCTCTCATAATACTCTCACACTGTGATCTGTATCAGGCCAAATAAAACTAAATAAACTTAATGGATACTCATTATTATTAGACCAGTTAATCACCACAGATTCTCTTCGCAGCTCCATATGAAAGTATGCTTTTAGATGGACAATGAGGAAAACTCCAACTCCAATTTGTTTTATTTGAAAACACTAGTTTTACTTCCTATTAAATACGATAGTGACATCACTATGTGGTAAACTTCTGCTATGATGAAGGTTTCTCCCTCTGATCAGCTTTTTGAAACATCTGTAACACCTACAATTACATTTTAGATTCTTTGCACCATGAATTTTATCATTTCATTCTTTAATAAGGAATTTTGGGAATCATTTCCCCACTCAGTAGCACCACCGTACCCCAGTTTCATTAGGTACGGTGGGTGCCACATAAAGAGTAATTCAACACTATATGACAATTTTAGGTGTAAGTAGTTTGTATTCCTTCTCTATAATGACACATGCCATTACATATCATACAGCAGAGTACAACAGGTCAAAAGTGTTGTGGTTTTACTCTCAAAAGTCTAATATTAAAAAAAAATTCCTTGGTTTGTGAAATTAAAAACCACTTGAAACACAGCTAGCTGTTAAATAATAAAACTATGGCAAAGCTCTTTTGTATTTTCCCAAACAATGCTATATTTTAGTATGTGTGATCTGACATGTGTCTGTCCTCCCTCTGTAAGAGAATTCCTGGGCCAAGGCTGGATGAAGGTTGATAAGACAGAAAGGACGCCATACATCATGAAAACGAGTCAACACTTTAATGACGTAAGCTCTTTCAAAGTTTTTCCGACACCTGTGTAAATATCTAGCAGCATGTCGTTTTTACATTATTTTTTATTTTTCCTTTTGAAGATGAGTAACCTGGTGGCATCGCAGATTATGACCCATACTGATGTGGGCTCGAGGGCTAACTCCATAGAGAAGTGGGTTGCTGTAGCTGACATCTGCCGCTGTCTCAACAACTACAACGGAGTACTGGAGATCACATCTGCACTCAATCGCAGTGCCATCTACCGCTTGAAGAAGACCTGGGCTAAAGTTAGCAAACAGGTGGAATAATGAATCAATAATAATAATCAATCCTCTCTGTATATAAAACCTGAGTATTGCACTTTAAAACGAGTGTATATAAATTTATTTTGTCTCTGTAATGTCGACAAATGGGTATCCTCCTGGTAGAATTGATGTCATTAGAGAGTTCAGAGAAAGACGATTCAGAGAGCCATTTACCTGTAATGTTTAGTATCAGCTCTTAGCTTTATTCTGATGAGCACTCAATCGATTAAAGCCATAATCATCCAATGACAGTCTGTCTCTCCACCAAGCCATGCTACCTATTTCCAACTGAAGCAAATTTGATTTTGTCATTTTATTACGATCATCTTTTATTAAGAGTAAGTGGATCTCGGGTTCATGCAACGTGTTGTTCATAATAATCACTTGAAATGATTTTAAATGTGTGTTTGTGGTCTTGTCCAGGCTAAAGCCCTGATGGACAAACTGCAGAAGACTGTGTCCTCTGAGGGAAGGTTTAAAAATCTGAGAGAGACCCTGAAAAAGTGAGACTTTACACATGTTTTCGAATGATTAAATCTTTTTTACATAATGCGAATAAGAAAATTAAAATGTGCTTTTATGGACTTTGTCACGCACATTATTCGTTCACTCTTCACACTTTCTTCCTCCAGCTGCAACCCTCCATGTGTGCCATACCTGGGAATGTATCTAACAGACCTGGCCTTTATTGAGGAGGGAACACCCAATTTTACTGAGGAAGGTCTTGTTAATTTCTCGAAAATGAGGATGGTAGGTACATACATGCATAAAAGAAATGCACAAAGGTGATGGAAATCATCTGCATATGTACACTATACTTTAATTGTCAACTTAAATTCCACATTTTCTTTAGATATCACACATCATCAGAGAGATCCGACAGTTCCAGCAGACTCCATACAGAATAGAGCATCAAGCCAAGGTACTTTTCTGTCTAAATGTTACATTTTTCTTCCCAATATATGTTTTTCATATTTATAAAAGTTTATTTATATTAAACATTTAAAAAAAAAACAAAGTGACCAAGGGCTTTGCAAAACATAAACAGAGAAACAAAAACATTACAACTGTCAGCTAAAACTAAAGACATTACAATATAAAATAATCAAAGATTAACTTAGAAGATAGTGTGTAGAAGGGAGTTTATAAAAAATATTACAATGTTACACAAGGTTAAACAGTACAGATCCTTCATTGAAGTACTAGTCCTGTCTGCTGTTGTGAACGGATTATTGAAAATCACTTTGATATATGTATAGACTTTTGGAAATGTATATCTGTAATATGTTTCTGAGAGATAAAAACATGGCCCTGCAGAAGCTCTCTTAAATCACCAATCATCTGGTTCTTGTACAAGATATTCTTCTTTCAAATATCCACTGAGGATCAATTTTACCCTCTCAGCTGTTAGCTGTACCAAGCAGAGAACCGTGGAGAGTAGTTTAGATAAAGACGAGATCTAAAATCAATTTGAGTTAAGCACTATATTTGGCTCATTGCAAAGCAATTTCATTCCCTATTGAGCCTTTCCAGACCATCTAGTTATCTAGTTGCTAAAAAACAGTTAAACATCTCGCCCTTTAATTGAAAATGACTAAATGAAGCCTGTAGCTGTAAATATAGTTTGCTAGTCCAAAACCTTTGTGTTTTCTATCCAGGTGACCCAGTACCTTCTGGATAAGACTCTGATCATGGATGAAGACACGCTCTATGATCTCTCGCTGAAGATCGAGCCCAGGCTTCCTGCCTGATTTACACCTGCTTGTGGCCAGTGGGAGCCTGCCGAACCTGGATCCCCCCCTCCCCAAGGGCAACACGCCCACATAATCTCATCAATCAAGAGGAAATCGGGAAGTTTTGAGAGCAACATGGAAATGAGAAATCAAGACTGCAGTGAGAGAAGAAGAAGCATGAGAGTTTTACAAGAGACTGTTGACGCATGAAATGTAATTTCTAAGATGTTGGACTGATTGTCTTCAAAGAGAACGAGTGGAAAAGGTTTTGGTTGCATCGTGTTGAGGGTTTCTGAGGAAATAACATGTCTCTGTGTGTGCTCATTGTTCCTCAGTCGAGAGTGTGGTGCACCTGACATCACACTTCCTCAGACCAGGTTGAGACTTCAGGAAAGGCTTGGAGCATGAATGGATAAAAAAACAGTGGACATAACAGAGATGTAGCATATACAGCTAGTGTGACAGAGAGATGTCTGAGCTCGTGTCTCTGTGCTGTTGTCTGTGTTCTGTTGCCTGTGCATTTCTGTGCCATGTCTTGGAGCAAGAGCCCTAAAAATGCTTTTTGTCATGATGGTCAACTGCAAGAACTTGCATGATTTTAGCTTGGGATGTAACTGTCTAAATGGCCTTCAACCTGACCCCTGACCCTCAGCTTAGCATGCTTCACTCTTTACCAGGGTGACTCTCTAAGCCACTATGCATCCTCAATGGACTGGGAACGGCAAAATGCCTTTAAGCTTTCAAATATAATGTAGAAAGACACTAAAATGAACGCTTAAAGATAATTTCAATTTAAATTTTTCAATTTTTGCTGAAGTGGCTTATTTTTAACAAATTAATTAATTAATTCTGTATTTGTCTTTGGTCGGTCTTTGCCTAAAGACATCCCATGAGAATGAAGAGCTCTTTAAAGAAAATGTCCACATGAATGATACAAAAATTATAAACTCTATCAGTGCCTTCCACTAGTGTAGGTCATTTTCCCCGCAATTGCCAATTTACATACAGTATAACCACGTTTATATATAAATCCCACTTATAAATCTTAAGATTTCCTATAAAAATTGGACTATAGTTTCACTCATACAACTTTTTTCAGAAAATATTTTATGTAGACTAAACAGTAGCATGTTAGTGTAAACAGAGTCAAGTCATTGCAGCATCTAATTGTCAGCAAATATCTCCCTCTAGTGTTTAAACATAATGAGAACCTCTACTGACCTAAAGCTTTTGCGGTGTTTGTGTGCAGTTTGATTTTTTTGGCTTTTATAAATTGTCAGATACTGACGTCTGTAGTCATGTCCCAGTGTGTAACTCTTGGATGTAGGCTGGGACAGTTTTTGCACTCTCTGAGATGTAGCTTTGCTTGAGTGACAGTATGATCGTTATTTACCATGCTATTTATTTCATCAGATACTGTATTTATCTTATTTTTGTATATAGTGACTCCACACATATCATATGATTGCTGAAGAAACACTTTGAATTGTCATGCTGTGAATATAGATTTTTTTTTTTTTGTCTCTCTTGTTGAATTCTAGTTTTGCATCCCAGGCTCTTGTATTGCAAGAAATCTGTTTAACTTTATTCTTAAAAAAAAATCTTTTGAAGGTTAAAAAAATGTAGCATTTAAATAATCTAATTTGTTTTCCGTATTGCTAATATGGTGAACATAGTTGTCCTGCATGCACACAACAGCTGCATGTTGTGCATGTCTGACCGGACACCCCCTGTACGTTCCCCCTCTGCTTCTCTATATTAATATTGTCTCTGCAGCTGTCGGGAGGCTCTGCTAAAAGGCATAGAAACAATATTTTGTCCATCAAATCTGGCACGTTTGTCTCTCAGTGTACCTCACAAAGTCAAGCATAATCTTTAGGCTATGTCATCTGCAAAACAGCCTGTTGTTATGCAGTAGCAGTGTTGGAAGTTATGCAGGCCTCAGTGAAAACGGAGAATTTTCCTCATAAAACAACAAGCTCGTTCAAGATTGATTGGAGGAAATGTTTTCAGGCTTTGCTTTTGGAAAAACTTGTCCTTTGCACTGCGTCTGTAATTCTGAGTGTCTGTTTGGGAATACAGGATGCTGTGTTTGTACTGTAATGTTATTTTTGTGTATTTGTTTGCATTTTTCACTTGTAGGTGCAGGGGAAATAAATTCAACATGCCTTATGTGTTTGAGCATTTCCTTGGACAGTGCAATAATCTCAGTGATATTAATCTGCTTCTGCTTGTGCTTCCTCTGGCAACCGCTGCCCTTAATGTTAACTCCTAAGTTGATTATTTTTGGAAGGTTTAGTTATTAACCCAGAGGAAACAGCCAATATCAGGCTACAGTACACAACAGTAGTAAAACAATGTGCATGTGTTTACAAGTGAAGAAGTAGTGTTGTATAATCAGAGCACAGTTTAATTCAACCAAGAAATCTTATTAAACATCTAGGGGGTTTTATTTGGTGCTGAGGTCCAAGACTAGACTGAAATGAGAATTCACCAAATTTAAGAATCAATATTCTTCCCTTTGTCTATAACTGTCCAGTTATTAACCCACTTGTACACACTCAATGCCAGACAGCAGAACTAGATTTTGAATTACACATTCTCACCATGTCAAATGTGACACTGCTCTTAAAATGATGAATAATATGTTCCGGTTTTGTGGATTCACAGATGTTGCATCAGATGACCAGATAAAGTAACATGCCTGGGTGCTCTCACAGTCTCATTTAACGAATACTTAATCATTAAACTGTTATCCAGGTAACATCTAGAATAACTTTGGATATTTGCAATGTTTGGAGCTTGAATTTTATGAAGTAGGCTCTCTGTACAGGGGTCTCAAACTAAAATTGGCTTGAGGCCACTGCAGGTATTGTCATCTCATAGGAGAGCCACTTCATCGTTCAAGTACTATGAGAAAACACAATATTCTGAAAATATTTCCATTACTAACATCATGCAGTTTCTATACATTTCATCTTTGTTGTTCATAGCCAACAAAAAATGAAAGCATGAAACCTGCTCTCTTCTTATGAACTGTTTGCATGCATTTGCAGGCAGCTTTGACCTTTAAAAATAGAACTGTGTTTTTTTTTTAAATTGTATATGAAGGTATAAATTAAACTGATATGAAAGAATACAAACATATATTGCGGGCCATATTATTTAATATTTTTTACATAATTTTGCCAGAGGGAGGAGGTTAGAGGGCCTTAAATTGCCCCCAGCTGGCATTTAGAGCCTGTTTATTTACAGGTCCAATCCTGTATTGATGTTTAGGGAGACAATATATGTTCACAAACAGTGAAAGACAACTTTATAAAGGCAATTCTTCAGGCTGCATGACAGCTGTTGTTGAAGACTATTCCATCTTCGTGTCCAGTGCTTTGAAAGGACAAATACAGTTCATGCATATTTAAATAACACATACTACAGTAGAAGACAATAGACCACTTATATAAAATAATTGCATAAGGAGTACCGTCTAGACCTACTCTGTCTAAAAAGTGTCCTGACATAACTTTTGTTATGAAGTGGTGCTATACAAATAAAATTGATTTGAATTATACGTTGGCCTTTAAAGACAGTTGTTACCATGTCCATCATTAAACAGTTCCTCAACCAGCGGGATGAAGTCACATGATTTGCATTAATTCCTAAGAGCACCAGGGTGGTCAAACCATGAATATGATTTTCATTTTATCAATATATTGTAGGTTGACAGAGGACAGTAACTGTAAGAACATAAAACATTATTTAAGTCCTTGGGTTTGCACCCTGATTCTCCACAACTGTCTTTTCAGCCATTATCTTAATTCTTTCTTGACTTAATCACAAAACACTGTGTTGAAATTCTCTGAATGACATCATAGCTTCCACACTTACTGTCACGTAGTTGCGCTGTGGCCATCCTGCCACCATGTGGCCATGAATGGCATTGCCTCGTCTTGCACCAGTAAAGGCATTAACCTGTGCATAAGTCGTGACTCGTACTCCCTATCTTACCCTCTAGGTCTTATGAAATGGTATTGTGATGAAATTGTAAAAATAAAATATTCAAATAGATGTCAAACTACAGGTAACTGAATATCGAATGTTTTAAATCAGAGAAAATCATAAATATAGAGAGGGAATGAATCATTATATTCACTATTTGTTTGATCTTCACATATTTAACTTACCAGCTTTGATATCAAAGTGAGGTTTAATATGAAGAGGAAACACTGGTTTTAGAACAACAGCTGACACTGCTATTTGTGTTTGTTGCAGGAAATAATACGTTAATGAAAGAGTGAGAGAGACCAGACAGAGAAAGAGAGAGGCAGAGGGAGTGAAAGAGGAAAATGGTATGGTGTGACTCCTCGACAAACTGAGGAGGTGAAGTCACCGTTCCAAATGTTGTCGAGGAGAACGTGCCAAGTTGTTAGCTCTGCTGTCAGTTTTTGGTGCCATTAAACTGACTGGAGGGTGGCAGTTGTAGGTTGTAAGCATTTGTCTCTCAGTAGGAGTTTTATAGCAGATCAACCAACACGAATCCTGTTTCCGAGGACAGATGGATGACAGTTAGTTGAAGTTTACCACAACACTGTGGGTGTTACATCTTAGCCCTATTCAGCCAGTCAGACATAACAATTAGTAATGCTGGAGGGTATCTAAATTTAGAGAAACAATGCATAATGATGAATCTGTAAAGTTGAGTACAAATGTTTCTTTATAGTAAAAACATTGGGCTACACTCTTTATGTTTGTTGTGCCTCCTTGTGAAACTTTTCTCCACACCCTCTAGTAATGAAACTAGACTTTACACTGAGTGACTCGTGACATTTTTATGTGCTTTCTTTTTGAGCCACAATACTGAGTGTAAGTATTGCATGATAACCTGTATGTAACAAAGGTTACAGGTATAATGTATGCAGTGTCTCAGAGGTCTCACAGGCCCTATTGTTATTTGTGCAATAATTATAATAATAATACAAGATGCAAAATCAATACATTTTTCATTCAAATATGTTTTTATTTTTGGGGTCCCCATAACTCACCCATGTGCTAAGGCTTCTTCAAGAGTTCTTGCTGCAAGTCTGACCTGTGGCCCTTTGCTGCATGTCATCTCCTTACTGTAAGTGGTACTGCAGCAAAGACTGATCATCTCAGTCATGTTATTTAAAGGAGCAAATAAGGCATGTCATCTGTGTTGTAAAGAAGAACACATGAAATAAAATAAAAACCTGTAGTTAGTTTCTATGTGTATGTGTGTGTGTGTTTAAGCATGCGTGTGTGTGAGTGCATGTGTGAAGAGGTATGCAGACATGCTGACTGACAGTAGAAAGAGGATTTTCTGTCTGTTGCCCAGTGAGAAGCTAATCCCGAGCCAGTGTCCCCATCCCTCTCTCTCTCCCTCTGTGATCCCATCTCTGTTCTTCAGTCTGCTCTTACTCTGCAGATTGAACCTCTCTGGACTGAGCTGCAGGAAACACACAGGCCCTTCGCTGCCTCTACTCTTCAGACAAACCTCAGGTGAGCAATGGACTCTCCCTTCTCATCTCTTGGTTCTTGTTCCTGCAGATCTTCTCTGTCTGTGTTTCCTGCCTCCTTATGCTTGCATGCTTCCCCTGGAGAAGTAAAGTAGCTGTCAAAGCAGAAGTTTAGGCTGCCTTTCAAACATTATTCACTTTTTGATCAGCTTTTTGATCAGGCATGGATTTCCCCCTTAAAAAAGTGGACTATTCTGAATGCATTTATATTGTTGTGAGAGTTTGCATAAAGAGCTAATTAGAACTGAATACACTCTAAATGTTTTTTATCTTCTATGTCTTTTTATCTTTTATCATCTATAATATAAATTAAGTTTTGTTCTACAGCATGTATGTACACATCAAGAGCCTTTCTTTCTTACTTTACCGATGGGTAAACCTTTACAGCACACTGTATAGCCTACACAGCAACCTCTTGCATTAGGGCCTCTTAATCTGCCTGATATCAACAGAGACCAGTCACCTGCCAACAACTGGTCCCCTTAATTAAATTAAATTAATATATAAAGACTGATCTTTCATCTTACATTTAACATCAGTTGATAAATGCTATCCAAACAAAATCCATTCAAAATAACAAAACACACTTCGTAATGTGTCTTTTTCCGTTTAAGGAAAGGTCAAAGGGTTCAAGGGCCTCTCCTCATTACTTTCCCCTCTTCATTTATTCTTCTGGTCTCTTCTTCTGGTCTCTGATGGGAATCCCACTAATCCTACCTTTTCTTTGAAGTGGTTTCTCACTCATTAACCCCTCCCCCTGTTTTTGTGACCCTTAACACATCCTATACTGCCCCTCACTCCTCCACACTATCATCCCTCCTGTTGCTCCTTCTCCTTTCCAAGTGTTTTTTTTTCAGTGAGAATTTCTCATGCATCCTTCTTTTCCCTTTGTCTTCCTATAAACATCCACCTTGACTGTTTTTTTCACAGCTCCTCTCAGACTCAATTCACACTCCTTTCCTTTCTATCTCTCTCATCCTTTCGAGTATTTCTTTGACTCCTCCTTACCACCTGCCTACTCTCTGTCTCTATTTTCTCCCTGCTTGTGTAAGCTCAGTTGACCATCCCAGGATGTCAGCTGATGCCAGCTCAAAACTGGCACTTCAGCTTAACCTCATGACTGCTACTAACAATACCCTCTGTGTGTCTCTGTTTGTGTGTTTGAGTATGTGTATGGTGTGTGTGTGCATAAGATTAGATTAGATTAGATTAGATTCAACTTTATTGTCATTGCACAAGTACAAGTACTAGACAACAAAATGTAGTTAAGCATCTAACTAGAAGTGCAAAGCAGTAAAGTGCAGAGTAATGTGCATATGTACAGGGATATATTAAAAATAAATAAATAATAATAACATTATATATATATATAATGTTATGGACAGCATTAATGAGTGGAGTGAGGTGGGAAATGTCACTTTGACCCATAGCTCTAGATTTGTATTATGGGTTTTAATAAAAAAATATCGATGGAAAGCTCATGTGATTGGCAGATTTGATTTGATTTACATTATCAACAGGTGTTAGAAGGGTCAATTAAATATTATATTAAACTGCCGGTATCTCTCTCAGTGTCTAATCACAAATCATCTGATCACCTGAGCTGGTGGCTCACCCAGAGTGACCAATCAGAAGGCTGCTGTCTGCTTCTAGAATAATCTCATCACACAGACTGCAGGAGTATCTGTTACTGAAGCATTTTATAACTTAATGCAATTAGTAGCCTAGTTTTGTCTGTGTATGTTCCTGTAAAGATGTGTGTTAATAGGTCTGATTGTAAAGAAGCACTGTGGCCACAGAGCAACAAAAACAAAAAGTAAAATGTTTTTCAAGTGTAGCAGCATTGTCAATAGTCATTTAAATACAAAAGACACAACTACTGTTGCCTCCAAATATGTATTTATTACTGCAATCCAAAAATAAGATGCATTTTAAAGGCTTGAATTATTAGAATTATTATGATCCCTCTGTTTTCACATTCATACACTTCCACAATGCAACAATCTCACTACTGTGAGATTTCTAAGAGAAAATACGGCTTTCTGCTCTCCTCTGTGCCTGCGGGCAGTCTGGTCTAACAATCTGATTCCCAAATATCTGAATGCTGTCTGTGACATTCAGGCAGGATGCTGCAGTAAAGTTCAAGCTTAGTTAAACTTATTAAACTGTCAACCGTCAAATAAACATAAACACATAACCTGACATTTATAACTCCCTAATGAGACTATAATCAACTATTAATTAGTATGGATATTTACACTTTGGTGTTCAGTGGTAAACTCAGCTACAGTACTTTCATACAAGATGTGACTTGATTTTTAATGTGTAATTTGACTGACAGACAGTTGTAACTTGACATGTTGTCACTGACTGAAACTTACACACATAGCACCTTACACTGGCAAACTGGAAATATGATTTAACTTTTTTGAGTAAATAAATAACACACATTTAAGGTAAATGGAAAGTCACCTTTGCCCTCTCACCTTTTACCAGGTAATAACCCAGACCACGTAACCATGGCGAACTCTTTCACCCGAATGATGTCTAGCCGTAACACGGCAACAGCAGTGATGCTAGCCAGCGTAGGAGCTGGCACACTGGTCTCTGGATACCTCTTCAGTGACAGCACCGCTGCAGCTGAGAGGAAGAGGCTCTATCCACCCAGGTACGTGTGTGATTGTGTATGTGTGCAGTGTTTCAATATAACCTGCCAATATACAAACATTACTGTTTCCATCAAAAAATGATAAAGCATGTTAATGTTTGAATTAATTCAGACACAATAGGAGGCAAGATAGGAGATAAGAGATACATGTGTGTGTTTTCTCACTGTTGTTTCTGTCACCACAGAGAGGCCCAAATCTATTACTGCATAATATCTTGGCAAAGCGTACAAAGCCTATGAATTATAGCAACTCACGTTAGCACATCAGAAAGATTGAATGATTAATGGACACAATTAAGTATATGTAGTTGTATATGTATTTTGAAAATTGCAGACATTTAAGAAGATATACTTTATTAATCCCCTAGGGGAAATTGTTCTTTTCACTCTTTTTATACACACACACACAGGCTGAAATACACACTTCATGCACTTGTGGACATGCATCAGGGAGAGAGATGGTGGAGTGATGGGGCTGCGCGTTAGCAAGTGCACCTCGGCAGTGCACAGGAGGTGAAA